GTGTACATATGTGTTAAATATTTCTTGAATAAAACTATAGAACTGCAAAAGTACACAATAAAAATATTTATCAGTAAATGATATATCTGACAACAGATAAAATCGATTTAAAAAAAGGTTAAACATGAACATTGAAGCTGTTTTGTGAGCATACAGGTTTTACAAATAAAATTAATTTTGGTTAAATATGTGTAATATTTTATAAGCCTTTTAACTCTTGTAAATATGTTGTAACAATCTATGTAGTTTAAGTATTTGTATGTTTATAAAGTGTTTGTTTGCACCGCACTACGTTACGCTCATTGATTTCAGTGGTTAGCGTTAGCATTAGCTCAGTGCATAAAAATCCCCCTTGCGAAGTCACGCCCAGGTCACATGATGCCCAATCCAGTGATGTCGATATCACTGACGGCAACATTCCCATAGTTCTCGTTGTGTGGGAGCTTTGCTGTCAGATTAAACCCAGATTAACCCTTTAAACATTTGTAATCCAACCTCGCTGGCCTGATGTGTTTCAGATCAGAATGCTCTACAGTCCACTCCTTCCAACTTGGTCAAGTCATGGTCCAACGAAGCTCAGAGAGGAGCCAAGAGGACCACTAGTGAGAATGCTGCTCAACCACAAAGGTACCAACCCCAGTTTTTATTTCAAAATAAAAGCTCAGATCAAAATCTGAACTGTGTGACTCAGATTAAGTTTTAATTCCAGGGTTTCCAAACGAAAAGTGGGCAGCGGTTCGGGTGCACCCCCGACAAAACGACTAAAAGAGTGAGTGGTCCACGCTGCAAGCTTCAAACACAAACCAGAACCAGGATCACGTCTGACTCTTCTGTTTGTAGGATTCCAGTTCCTCTGAAGCCTCAGGCCGGGGTCCGCAGGAGCAGGCGCCTCCAGTCCACACAAAACCCCAGCAGCAAACCTGCAGAGTGAGTTTCTGACGGTTTGGGTCTGACAGCACAGTTCAGATTCAGTTCTGACCCACGTGTAAACTCTGTGGACAGGCCCGTGTCCTCGGAGCAGCTGGAGCTGGAGCGGATCAGGAACCTGCAGGAGGAGGTGGCCCTGCACCGCAGACAGAACGAGGCCAGCTTCAGAGCCGCTCTGGCCGGCAGTAAGTCCAGATCAGACCTGAGCCCGGCACGCAGACCAGCAGAACTGTGAGAAATGTTTACGTCTCTTTCAGATCCGCCTCCAAAGAAGCTGGCTCTGTCCACCACCGTGCCCGAAGAGTTCCACTTCAGCACCGACACCAGGGTCAGAGCCTCCACCCCGTCCACCTCCTCACAGAGAGAGGTGGACTTTGTGAGCCAGCTGAGGAAACCCTCAACCCCGGTAAGAAGTCCTGACACGGTCCAGGTCGACCCAGGACCTGAGGACTCTGGGGGTCTGGTTTTATAAACCTGTTTGTTTTTCAAGGTGAAGGCTCGTAAAGGAGCCACAATCCCCAAACCCTTCAACCTGTCAGTGGGTCACAGGAAGGGGGAGGAGCCTGGGGACTACGTCCCCATGGCCCAGCAGATCCAGCAGTTCCAGAAGAAGACCCCGGCCCGGTACCACCTGCACAGCCGCAGAACCCATGACAGAGGTGGGTCTGACCAGTCAGCTGCTTCCTTTAGGTGTCTCCTGTCCTCTGTCTGCAGGGCTCATGACTCTGTTCTGGTCCATGTATGTTGTCTCAGGTTCCACAGTTAGGATTTATTTATTAAAACACTTTTTATTTAATTTAATTTTAAAAGTATTAAACCCCGCCCTGCAGCCAGTCTGAATCTTCCTGCAGTGAAAAACGAGCTGATCTCACTGACCTCAGTGTTTAACGTCAGGCCCGTCTCCGGTCAGAGGCCAGCAGCTGAAGCTGACTCAGCCCAGGACTCCTCAGCTGATGACGCGTAAGAGGGGCCGACCGGCCATGGTGAAGAGCAGCGCGGAGCTGGAGGAGGAGGAGCTGCAGCAGCTGCAGAAGTGAGGAGCTGATCTGAGTCTGGCCCAGTCTCCTCTGGGCCAGTCGTTGGTCTAACGCCGCTCTCTGCAGGTCTAAGRTCAAAGCTCTGGAGCTGAACAGGAAGATCCTGGAGAGCGCCGAGGAGCTGAAGAAGCCGGCGGTGAAGGAGCCCACCGTGCCCGAGGAGTTCCAGCTGGAGATAGAGAAACGGCTGCAGGAGAGGCAGACCACCAGGAAGAGCCAGGAGGACCAGGAGAAGCCCCACACCTTCAGAGCTAAACCTTTACCTAAGAAGGTCCTGGAGGGTGTCGTGGTGAGGGTCCCTGACACAAACACTGGAACTAAAAGCTTTAAACGTGGTGGAGTTTAATCTGTGGGATCGACCTTGTGCCAACAGGAACTGAATCTGAATGTTCATAATTAAAAACTGAACGCATTGATTTGAAAATAAATTAGACTAAACTGAAACTGAATTTAAAGTTTTGTATCTGAATAAATTTGTTTTGAAACTGTATTTTGGTTTATTAAAATTCAATTTGACTACTTTCACTTTCAGTTCCATAATTCAGATTTTTGTCACATCCTGGTCCTTAATTATTTTTATTTATTTACTGTTATTTTACCAGGCAAGTCCCACTGAGATCTGAGATCTCTTTGAAGGGCGGCCTGGGCCACATTTATGTTTCACTTTGGTGAAGTTTCCCTTCTGGATGTAACAGAGTTGATGCAATCCACTGTAAAAGTGACAAAAATACACAAAGTTATTTTATTGCAGTGATTAATTTGACCTATATGTAGAAAATGTTACATTTACATCACATCATGGATCAGTCAGCAGCAGCATCTGATCAATATGTGATCCATGATGTAAATGTAACATTTTCTACATATAGGTCAAATTAATAAAATAACTTTGTCTGTTTTTGTCACTTTTACAGTGGATTGCATCAACTCTGTTACATCCAGAAGGGAAACTTCACCAAAGTGAAACATAAATCTGTGGATCTGTGTTTGATTACTCTGCCTGGCTTTCTCAAGGACCAGGAAGTGTGACATTAAAATTTGAATTTTAGAACTGAAACTTAAAGTAGTCAAACTGACTTTTTTAATAACTTTAAATTCAGTTTCAATTTAGTGAAATTTATTTTCAAATCAGTGCATTTAATTTCATATTTTGCACATTCGGATTCAGTCTGAATAATTCAGATTCAGTTCCTGCTGGCACAAGATTTATTCCATATTAATCCTCTCATGTTTCAGGGATTACCAGAGAAGAAGGTTCCTCTTCCAACAGTACCAGAGTCTCCGGCGTTTGCTCTGAAGAACAGAGTCCGGCTGGAGAGGAAGTCTGAAGAGGTTCAGTTTGGTCCTGGTCTGCTTCATGTTTACGTCTGGCCTCTGGCTGCTTGAATCTAAATTAAATGTATTTTGTGTCCAGGTCAAACCGCCCTCTCCRGTTAAGGCCCAGCCCGTTCCTCACTTCGGCATTCCCTTCCAGCCCCGCCTCCAGGACCACCAGGTGGAGGTGTGTCCCTTCAGCTTTGAGCAGAGGGACAAGGAGCGCCAGGCCCTGAAGGAGAAGAAGCTGGAGGAGCAGAGGAACGAGGRGGTGCGGCTCCACTCGTCCAGAACCAGAACCGGTCCGTCTGGGTCCAGCTGGTCTGACTCTGTGTGTCTGCAGGTGCCACAGTTCAAGGCCCAGCTGCTGCCGGACTTCAGCACGGTGGTCCTGCCCGAGAAGAAGAAGCTGGAGCCCACCAAGCCAGAGCCGTTCAAGCTGCTGATCGACGAGCGAGGAGCCGTGAAGACCACCCGCTGGGAGGAGACGGTACCAGAACCCTGGTCCAGATGGGCTCTGAGTGTTGGGTCTGTGTCCTGACTCTGTCCTCTCCTGTCCCCTGCAGGTCAAGAAGGAGCAGAAGCTCCAGGAGGAGGCGGCCACCTTCAAGGCTCGGCCCAACGTGGTCACACACAAAGAGCCCTTCAGACCCCAGAAGGAGAGCCGACCCGCCGTGGGTAAGACCAGCTGCTCGGGTCGACCCGGCAGAACTTTTTAAACTTAACATCTTCAGACCTGAGAGGTTTTCTTGATGTTTTCATCATAACACCAGGCTGAGGTGTAACTGAGTGTGTGTCAGCTGTTATAAACTATTTAAATCATCCTGGTGTSAAAATAAAACAGACGTTTCATCAGAAGTGTTTAAACAGCTGCTGTGCTTCTAGACTTATTTTTCCCACCCTCACCTGAATGTTTGCATTAGACAGTGTTTATAATCCTTCATATTGAAATGAGGATTAATTATTAAGGTTTCTGGCTTTAAAAGCTACAGTTTGATACCTGGATCATTCTGACATCAGCTTATCCACAGATATGACTTAATTTATCTCGTTAGTTATGATAACATATTACTGTTTGGTCTGAATCTTTATTGAGTCATTTCTTAATGTTAATATAAAGAGGAAACCTAATGGGATTTGTATATTAGGATTTCCCAGTTGTAAAAAAAAAAAACATTTCTAGCTCACAGGGAAAAATTCAAGTTTATTTTCTTCAAAATTTTTATTCCCCCACTGCTCAAATGGTTAAATGTTTTTTCGGATTATATTTTAAACAGTTCATTCACATGATACATTGATAAAGCATTTATTCACTATATTTTGACAAAATGCAAATTTTGCACTTGTTTAAATCAAAACCCTATATCTGCCTGTTTCTCCACTTTTAAACTTAATCCTCATTTCGATATGATGGGTCACATATAATTCATTTAAAACCATAATGAATCGGACTAAAAACTCTTGGAAACCATAAATCCACCTGTGAACATCACCTGTGCAAAGATTCATGCTGCTAAAGTTAACTGGAGCAAAGTTACAGAGGTTTTAGTAAAGAAATAATTTTACATTTTGTCATTCTGCACAGGACAGACCATGATGGTACGATTTATAACTGTTAAATCTGAAGTTTTTAATTGCAAAAGTTATTTTTTTCTCACCTGCCTTTAAAAGACTTGTTATTTAATGTTTGTTCTTTTGAAAAATTATCCAAACATTTATTTGTCACCATATATATTATATTAAAATAATGAGAAATTATATCTGATTCAGTTGGATCATATTTACTCAAATGAAAGAAACTTTCAACACACTTTACAACACACTGAGGTATCTGCTTTGACTTGCTTTTAAAAAAAAAAAGTTTAACTTTTCCTCTTACCGATTTAGTTTAAATGTATTTACAGATTTACAATGATGTCATTTTGTAGTTTGTTTACTTTCTGTTTGAACTGTTTGGATGTAAAAACAGTTTTCTTGAGCTTTTAGTGTTTCTATTGATACCACACATGTCCAGGTTCATCTCACGGATCTGAGTTAACAAAAATAGAAAACAGAAAAAGCTGTTTTGGACCCGGTACTGAGGACCATGGGGCTCAAGTAAACCCAGCTGAGACCAGAACCAGGGTTCTGTGGTTTTTGTGGCCCCGGTTTGGATCAGTTGGGTTTAAAGACGGTGTTTTGTGTGAACCTGTTGTGGTGGTGTCCTGAGGAGGCGCGAGGCTCCGCCCCCCTCAGGGAGCCGCAGCGCCTCCTCGTCTCTCATCATGTCCTTGTCTTCGTCTCTGTCCTCCTGGGCTTCCCTGAGAAGACTGTCCTCCCTCCACAGTGGTGGAGCCCTTCCAGCTGGCCACGGAGCGCCGCGCCAAGGAGTGGCAGGAGTTCGAGCAGCTGAAGGCCGAGAAGGAGGTCCTGAGGGTCCGCATGGAGGAGCAGCAGAGACGGGAGGAGGAGCTGAGGGAGAGGGAGGAGATCGCCAGGCTGCGGCAGGAACAGGTGACCCAACACAGACCTGCAGACCCGGTCCTGCTGGGCTTTGGTTTCCAGGACTGAAGCTCCGCCCACAATTCGTTTTAACTGTTTATCCTGATAGATTTTTGCCCTGAAGTAACAACAAACTGGTGAAGGTTTAGTTCTGGTTCCTGAGTCTGACAGGTTTTGTCCTGGTCTGCAGGTCCACAAGGCTCGGCCCATCAGACAGTACAAAGCTGTGGAGCTGAAGAAGAGTGAACTTCCTCTGACTGTTCCACAGACGCCCAAGTTCTCCGACAGATTCCGCTTCTGAACAGCTTCCAGCTGCTGCACATGTTCTGTTCATTCCTCTTTTCTTAACTGTTGTATGATTTTTATCTAAGATTTTATCTTTCTTTTTATATTCTCACCTGTTTTTATCTAACCTTTTTTATCTCTTTATTGTGTAATAAAGTTCCTCCGTTGAACCTTCAGAGTCTGGAAGTTTGCAGACATGAGTTCAGTGTTTCAGTTTTTCTGTTCAGGGTTTGTAYTTTCAGTGTGTAAAATATTAAACTCAGGGTTCTTACAGCTCTGAATCAGTTTGAGCTGTTTCAACAGGAAACTTAAAATATTTAAAGTCACCTGATTGTTTATGTAAACATTAAAACCAGCAGATGGCAACATTTCAGATTAAAAGAATTTAATCTGATAATATTTTCCAACCAGGTCTGTCTCAGAGATAAAACTTCTGTTTAGTTTCTATCTAAACCATAATTAATTCACTGTCAGGAGCTGCTTTTTTWAATTCTTTTTAACCAATGAGTCAGAATTAAAACAAGATGACAGTAATGACCCTTTTACTTATGGGTTTGTAAACTTTAAAATAAGTAAAGTACAGATAACCAAAGTTTCTATTTGAGTACAAAGTATTTACTTGACTTCATTGCCAGCAGGCCCACAACCTGATCAGAACCAGAACCTGACTTCTCTCTGAGCTTATGAACCTTTAAAACCTGCAGGAATCAATTTAAAGAACAAGGATGGTTAAGTCGGCACTTTTTCTCACCGTGGTATTTTACAGAGAAATAAAGTGACGGGCTCCAAACAAAACTCCACATGATACAAACTCAATCAGGAAGTTTAGCACTTCTCTGTATCAATCCTTGACAAAACATCTGTTGGAAAGTCTGCTCATCTCCCTTTTAAATGGAGCCACATTTGTAAGGATCATGCATGAGGATGTGGGGTGGTTCCCCCAGGTGCTGCCGATCAGTGGAGTCAGACTGGGAACAAGAGCGAAGGTTTCTCAGCAAACATCTCATGTTGATTTTAAAATCCTCAGGATAAAAATCACCAACWCTTAAAGATCAAAATATCTTTTTTGTTCTGTTTATTTTACTGTTTAATCTTCCAATAACCTTTATCTTCACACAGTAAATTAACGATTGAAGTCATTTACCAACATCTTTACATACAGGTTTGTAAAAATTCACAGCGTATTTATTATGGCTCCACCCACTTGTGTGCACAATACCTGAATGAAATGATAGATTAATTTATAACCAGGCAGAGTGACTCCATTAGGGTGGCATTCAGTCTGATTAGATTTGGGTATCAAAGGGTCAAAGGTCATTTATGATTTTTATTTTTTTTCAACGGTACAAATAAAATACCTGGTTAAAATAGGAAACATTATTTTGTATGATAAAATCTAAGACAAGTTCATTTACATGGTAAATTATATGAATTTTCCACTCTTGATACATGTTAAAGAACCAGAGGTTAGACAGTATTGTGTGATAACTTAGATTTGTGTTGTTCTGTTGTGTAACAGCAGCCTTAGATTGATCAAAGTTAAAATTAAACTGTTAAAACCTAATTTGTTCCACTCAGTGTGACATGTTTTTGTTTCATGTGTAAAACGATGAATCAACAGGTCACAAACTTCCCCTGCTGTGTCTCCGTTGACAAAACCTCCAGTGGTTTGTGCACACATGCTAACGCTAACATCTGCTCAAAGCTGTGCTTCAAAGGCAAACGTCCTCGAGCTCCACCCTGCTCACAGAAGTCCTGGTGTAAAAAACACTGAAGTGTAGAAACCCTGAACACATACAAGAGAAGAAACCATTCAGCTGTTTTAACTGTGAAAACCAAAAAGCAGTATTAAAGTCAGAGTCTGGATTTTATTCAACATAGAAAACAAACAAATAAATAAAAACAGTTTCAGTCCAACGTGTTTGAATCCTGGTGTCACTAAAAGCTGCTGACGGTGAAGTTTAACACAATAAAACAGTTTTGTTTTTGTTTTTTTTACAATCAAATCTAAAAGAAAACCAAACGCTAAGATCTGATCCAAAAGCTCCGGGTCGAACAGAAACAACAGAGCGTCAGCAGAGTGAGGAGAAAAAACTGTTCAACAGAAACAAAAAACAGGAGTCGTTCTGAGACTCTGGAGCGTCTCAAATACTTCAGAAACAAAACTAATCTCTCAGCAGAATGTCCAAATCACAGAGGACTACATTTCCCATGATGCACCTGCTCAGAGGAAACCATTTGTTACCTGAAAGGTTGGAGTGATTCAAGAAGCAGATTTATACATTATGATAATCAGGTAATTTAAAACAGGTCTAATTAAACCATGAATCATTTTTTAACAATAAAAAACTGCATTTAATKTTTCTGCATCTTAAAATTCATGAACTGTCTGAAGCTGACTTCCTTTAAAAGGAAATCTGGAGAAACAAAAACAAAAWTCTTCATTTCCTCGTTGGTTACTTTGGACAAAGTTAAATAAAACTAGGTTTAAAGCCGGTCATGATAAAGTCCCCATGACTCAGCAAAACAAAACAAAGTTCATGAAGAGCCAGTGTGACGCTTCCACCGCTCAGCCCACAGAAGCGTTCCCCTCTTTGGATCAGAACCAAGTCGATGTTCCGAGGACAGTGTTTTGGTCCGAGCTCACGGGTCCACGAAGGACACTGCGATGTAGCGGACGCCGTCGGTGGTGGGCAGGCCTTCGTGGTAGTGGGTGAGGCGGCCCGGGTGCATGAGGGCCCAGCCGCGCCGGGGGGCCTGGATGGAGCAGTCGTAGCGCAGGAACCGGCAGCCACCACCCTGCGGGGACAGAACCAAGACCCGGACCTCAGAAGAACTGAATGACGTCATACTGGATCATCTAACGTAACAGACTCAAAAGAGTTAAACTGAGTCCAAATCTGCTCAGGAGTTCAGATTATCGTGTTAATAAATCAAAATATTTTTGTAAAAAAATAATAAAATGAGTTCTAGTTTGTTCCGAGCAGAACTGGAAGTGATCCGGTCTGGGATTATCGTGGATCTCTGGGGTTTTCAACACAAAAACTATGAAATTACAGGTCAGACAGGTTTTTTATTTGTTGCTGTTTTTTATCTTCTGGAGTTTCAGGTAAACAGAGCTGGGTGTAGAAAGAACAGAACCGGGCCGAGTATTACACCCTGTGGGACTCCAAACAATAGAACTGATCTAATCACTCCTTTAACAAAACCCCAGGTGGTTACTAGTGTCCTCATACTAATATCTGTATCAAAATTGGCCCAAATACCAGCCTCAAATATTCATACCCACAAAAAATACTTTGGACACATACACATTTACGCTTAATGATGTCATTTCCTGTTCCAAGCAAGCAACAAAATGTCCAYAGTTTGGAAATATTTTAAGAAAAATTCAAGCTGTTAAGAAGACAGCAGATTGTTTATTGCGTTTGTGAGTACTAACTCACCAACTACACAGTACCACACACAGTGAAATACTTGTATGTGACTGACCTGGTAATCGATGCCGACCTGGTTGAGAGCGATGTTGATGGTGAAGGTGGAGGCGTCGTGGTGCGGCCTCAACGCCGGCTGCTCGTCAGGTTTGTACCGAACCACGAAGGCCAGATCAAAATGAGCCTGAAACCCAGGACCAAACCGGATCAGGACTTCTGCACGGCTCAGAACCCTCCCAGCAGCAGGTATGTTGGGATGTCCTACCTGAGTGTGACACTTCCTACCTGAGGGTGTGACTTCCTACCTGAGTGTATTACGTCCTACCTGAGGGTGTGACATCCTACCTGAGCATGTTACGTCCTACCTGAGTGTTACGTCCTACCTGAGTGTGACGTCCTACCTGAGTGTGACACTTCCTACCTGAGTGTGACACTTCCTACCTGAGTGTGACACTTCCTACCTGAGTGTGACACTTCCTACCTGAGGGTGTGACTTCCCACCTGAGAGTGTTACGTCCTACCTGAGTGTGTTACGTCCTACCTGAGTGTGTTACGTCCTACCTGAGCGTGTTACGTCCTACCTGAGCGTGTTACGTCCTACCTGAGCGTGTTACGTCCTACCTGAGTGTGTTACGTCCTACCTGAGTGTGTTACGTCCTACCTGATAGTGTTACGTCCTACCCGAGTGTGTGACTTCCTACCTGAGTGTGACATCCTACCTGAGTGTGACATCCTACCTGAGTGTGACGTCCTACCTGAGTGTGACTTCCTACCTGAGTGTGACTGCCTACCCGAGTGTGTGACATCCTACCTGAGTGTGGTAACCAGGAAACATCTTCTCTGTGATCGGGGCCACGTACTCCACCAGGAATTTGCGCCATTCTTTTTCAAAGTTGACTTGATTCATGTGGATGTCGATGGTGGGAACGTTCTCATAGCCGCCCTGGATACGAGTGTCCTGAGGAATGAGTAAACAATAAACAACCATGAAAACAACAATGAGTAAACAATAAACAACAATGTGTAAACCATACACAAGAAGCAAACAATGTGCGAACAATAAGCAACTATGAGTAAACAATATACAATGATGTTTAAACAATAAACAATAAGTAAACAAAAAACAACAATGAGTAAACAATAAACAATGAGTGAACAATAAACAACAATGTGTAGACAATATACAACGAGTAAACAAACAGTTGTCAACACTGCCTTTTCTGCTAAAATATAGTGCAAAATCTGAGAGCTTAATGACGGCTAAAAGGAGTAATGCCATTTGAAAACTAAAGTAGCAAAAGGCTAGCTAAAAGCTAAGTTAGCAGCTAGCTAAGAGATAAAGCAGCAAGATGCTAGCTGATAGCTAAAAGAAGCAAAATATTAAATATAAATGGCAAAATACTGGCTAAAGACTAAATCAGAAAAAGGCTAGCTCCAAGTAGCAAAAGGCTAGCAAAGAATGAAAAGAAGCAGAAGACATGCTTAGTACTAAAAGTGCAAAAGGCTAACTAGAAGCTAAAAGAAGCAAAATAGCAAATGAAAATGGCAAAAATAATGGCTACAGGCTAAAGCAAAAAAAAGGTTAGCTCAAAGTAGCAAAAGGCTAACTAAAGTTTGTAAATGGCAGCTAACAGCAGAAAATAGTTAACTAACAGTTAAAAGTAGCATAAGAAGACAAACAGCGACGTCAGCTGAAACTGATTTTAAAATATTTGAAAGAACTGGAGAGTTTTGGATCTAAATTCCTAAAACTGAAAGCTGTAGAACATCTTACCTTGTTTCCACCTCCTGACCACTGCCCAAAGTGCTCCATTTCCTCTATCAGGTGTTTACAGGCAACATCTGTGAAAACTGGGAACCAGTAAACATCTGGACAGGGCTGCGGGTCGGGAGAGAACACAACCACYAAGTAAAGTAAACGTCTGTTGAAAGAACACGAACATCTTGCTTGTGACTCGACTCACGTTCTCGATCAGTTTGTCCTTCATGATGCGGCTGTAGTTCATGTGAATGTAGCGCTCCTCCCAGTCCTGAGACCAAACAGGAAACAACCCAACTCAATCTGAGCTCAGAATTTAAATCAAGTTAAAACTAAAAGCCAGTAAAATAAAAGCTAAAATTATCCAAACATAAGCTAAAGCAGAATGGTTAAAACAGCTGAAAATTTGTTAAAAACATAAAATAAAACGTGCAGAAGAAGCTATAAACAGGAACACAACTTTAACACGGGAATAAGACTGCAAAGCCACCAGCTTTAAGAGGTCAGGGAGTGAGACATATGTGTGGTTACCAGTGGTAAACAAAGTGTTAGCTTCACCACTGATCAGCTTAACAAGAATCTTAGCTCAGCTAATGCTAAATTGCTAAACAGAGAGAAAAATTAGAGGAAGCTAACGCTAATTCTACTGGTTTAATTTGAAGGTGGGCGGGATCATCTGTGGAAAATCAGCCAATCCACAAGTAGCTCTGTCTAACTTGTGGTACTTACAACTTTCAGAATAAAAGCATTTCTTTGATAAAAAGTATCGTTAGTCAAACAATAAATAGCAAATATTTTGTATGTTGTCATTTTTTGTTATTTAAATTTTATTTTATTTATTTTTGAGGCTCTTAGTTTGAAGTTTAACTGCTAACGATGCTACATGCTAACACGGGCTGCCAGACACATCCAGCACTGCTTGTAAGAGCGAATAGTTTTAATAGAATTTGGGATAAACAGCATAAAACTCAAGTTTTACACTTTTAGACATTTAGCGGAAAATAAATGGTCCACTAAAGGTTTCCAAGGTTAGCCAAAAAAGCTAATCCGCTAAATGAGAAGCTAGTTCCGCTATTAGCAAATGAGCAGATCTGTTCCATGGTGACCCTGATGAGCCAGGACGGTCAGAGTTTTAAACTCACGGTGGGGTTTTCAAAGATCTGCCACAGGTCGTTGTGCAGATGTTTGGTCTGGTAGTTCTCTGTGGACAGGATGCGACCGAAGGTGTGCACGTTGGTCACGTACATAAAGATCCCCTGTGAGGAACAGGTCAGACGTTAAAGAGGACGGCTCGTAAGGCCTCAGAGTCTGAGCTGAAACCTTTCCTCCTCCTCCTGTTTCGGACCTTGGTGCGAACGTTGTGGCAGAAAGCCATGTCGGGGTCCGTGGTCTGCGAGGTGAACAGGTCGTAGTCTTTCAGCTCTGAGCGCAGGAGGTCGGCCTTCACCAGGTAAACGCCGGAGACATACGGGACATTCCACACACCCCTGCAACACAACACTCTGAGTCAAGAGGAAGGTCCAACACCAGGAACAGAAACCAGGAGTCCAGCAGCCAGTCTCAGATGGTGCCAGACCCAGGCTTCTCTTGGAGCCGGACAAAGTTATTCTGACAGAAAAAAGATGCTATTCCTGCAGGAACTGCCTTTTCTGACTATGGCTTCAGCTTATTTTACATAAGAAGAGTGAACAATAACATAAATATAAAAAACATTTTAGTGACAGGCTGCTAACCAACAACTAGCATGGATGCTAAGAACAGTGAAAACGCCATACAAAAGCTAACAAGATTAGCATTGCAGAACTTCCTTTACAGGCAGATATTCTTCAGGGTTCAGTGAAGAAAAAATGAAAAATACATGAAAAGACGCAGCCAGTGGCGGGCACTAGCCAAAGAGTAAGCTTCGTTATTAGCTGTTAGCAGATTAGCAGAACTGTGCCCACCATTGCACACAGCTTTACTGCTACATGTTTCACTCACACTCTCCGTCCTTGGACGATGTCCACGTAGTCCTCAGACCTGGCGTAGTACCCGTCGGCGCTGAGGGCGCCCCAGAAGTTGCTCCACAGTCGTCCGGGTCGGGTTAGCATCGGCGCCACCACGGGCCTGAGGACAGAAACATATGGTGAGGTTTGATGAGAGCGTCACAAACGTTTTGGTTTGAAGAAACAAAGACCTACAGGTTTTGTTTGATGAGAATTTTGAGGGTGTCCTCGTTCTTTAGGACCACCTCGACGTCCAAGTTGAAGAAATAGTCGCAGTCTTTGTCTTCCCGGCACAGATGGCTGAGTTAAAACAGAGGTAGTTACAATCAAACTCATGTTCCAACACTCTGTGAGTCTTCTGCTACATTAAACGAAGCAGGACGGTCAGAGGAAGCCTCTTGTTGTTGTTTATTTCTTCATGTAGGAGAGAAAACATGAAACTCACAAAGCAAGGTCACGCGAGGCCGTGGAGTCCGTCTCCTCCTCCGGGCTGATGGTTTTAACGTCCTGATAAAGACCGCCGTGCTCCTGCAGGAAGGAGCTGACCTGCTGCTCATGATGAGGTTCCTGCAGCAGAACAACAAAAAACTTTTTATAAGTTTAAAAATAAACTTTACTGCCAAAAACTACAATTTATTTTTACTTCTAGATCTGTCACAGCAAAAGTATATAAACAACTGGAATTTATTTATGTAAACATATCAATAGTACTACTATTAGTAAAGTAATAGTACAACTCATAGAAATAGTAGTACAAGTAATAGTACAGTAATAGTATTAAGAGTACAAGTACCACTACTGCCGTTAACTTATATTGCTAATATTACAAGTTCTCCTTGTTCTAGTACAATAATGCYATTAGCAGTAGTACTAGTTCTATATCTGTACTTCAACACTTGAATTACTAGAACTATTAGTAATGGTGCTAAAAGTCATTGTAGTATTATAAGTAGTAGTACTCATTATCGTACTAGTAGTGGTAAAATAAGTGTTGCAAACTAGTAAAATTAGTACTGTCTTTATTTCTACTAGTAGTAGGAACAGTAGAACTGTTAGTACTCATACTATACAAGTTCTACTTCTATAGCATGATAGCTATACCATTACTAGTACTTCTAGTTCAATTACTATATAAGTAATAATAGTACCAGTAGTACTATCAGTATCCTAGCACTATGGATACTAGGACCATTTGTACTATATTAGTASTAATAGGACTCATAATTGTAGAACTATTATCATGCTACTACTACAAGTAATATAACAGTAATTATATTAGTAGTACTATTACTAATCCAATATTGGTAATGAATTAGCAGAAGTTGAGTAGATGTTGGATGGTAGTTGGGTAGTAGTTGAGTGGTAGTTGGGTAGTAGATGAGTTGTAGTTGGGGGTAGTTGTGTAGTAGTTGGGTAGTAGGGTACTAGTAGTAGTAGTTGGGTAGTAGAAGGTTAGTAGTTGAGTGGTAGTTGTGTAGTAGATGGGTAGTAGTTGGGTGGTAGATGGGTAGTAGTTGGGTGGTAGATGGGTAGTAGATGGGTAGTAGTTGTGGAGTAGATGGGTAGTACAATGGTAGTAGTTGAGTGGTAGTTGGGTACTAGTAGTAGTAGTGGGTAGTAGAAGGGTAGCAGTTGAGTGGTAGCTGGGGTAGTTGGGTAGTAGATGGGTAGTAGTTGGGTAGTAGATGGGGGTAGTTGGGTACTAGTAGTAGTAGTTGGGTAGTAGAAGGGTGGTAGTTGAGTGGTAGTTGGGTAGTAGATGGGTGATGGGTAGTAGTTGGGTGGTAGATGGGTAGTAGTAGAGTGGTAGTTGGGGAGTAGATGGGTAGTAGAAGGGTAGTAGTTGAGTGTTAGCTGGGTAGTAGATGGGTAGTAGTTGAGTGGTAGTTGGGTAGTAGATGGGTAGTAGAAGGGTAGCAGTTGAGTGGTAGTTGGGTAGTAGATGGGTAGTAGATGGGTAGTAGATGGGTAGTAGATGGGGTAGTTGGGTGCTAGTAGTAGTAGTTGGGTAGTAGAAGGGTGGTAGTTGGGTACTAGTAGTAGTAGTTGGGTAGTAGAAGGGTGGTAGTTGGGTACTAGTAGTAGTAGTAGTAGTAGCTGAGTAGTAGAAGGGTAGCAGTTGAGTGGTAGTTGGGGGTAGTTGGGTAGTAGTTGGGGGTAGTTGAGTAGTAGTTGGGTAGTAGTTGGGGGTAGTTGGGTAGTAGTTGGGTAGTAGTTGGGGGTAGTTGGGTAGTAGTTGGGTAGTAGTTGGGGGTAGTTGGGTAGTAGTTGGGTAATAGAAGGGTAGAGCTGGGCACTAGTAGACAGGGTTAAATGGTAGAAAGTTAACCTGGTTGTAAATGAAGAGTCTGAGTCGGTTCTTGGGGTACTGGAGCTTCAGGAGACGCTCAAAGAACACAGAGACAAACGGAGTGGGCTGCTGGATGAAGACCCCGATCATCACCAGTGGGTACTCGGTCTCCTGCAGGAAGTAAAAACAGACAGTATGAGGAGTTTTACTGTGTTTGAGGGAAGAAACCGCTCAGCTGATTGTGTTTTCATCTGCAGACATAAACAGACCTTCAGAGCAGAGAGGGGCCGCAGGTTCTCCTGACAGACCGTGCAGCCGGTCTCAAAGGTCCAGGCGTTGGGGATGTAGTTACCCAGATAGTTAATCTGCAGCTGGAAAACAAACATCAGCTGAAGAACTGAACATTTACAGACTCACTGAGTGAGTTATTCTAAATAAATCATTTTACATGAGAAATAAAATAACTTCTTGTTCTTGAAAGATTCATATCACCTGCTGCCTCACACACCAACACTAAACTAAAACCTTACATCTTAGTACAGATGTGCAGCCAGTGAGATATTTTGCTAACAGACAGGTGATAATCGTACCTTGGTCGGTCCGTTCCCGTGGACAACGACAGGCAGGGTATCGTACTGAACGTTTCTGGCTCGGACTCGTCCATCCTCGAACTTCAGAACCACCTCATCTGGAACAACAAACAGGTTCAGCTTTTATCGGAAAAAAGTTTTCAACTTTTCACATTAAGTAAAAATCACTTTTATTTTAGGGCCCTTAAAAATAAAAATGTCACACAGCAGGTTCATGTTTTATTTCTACTTAAACTTTGGACCACAAAATTTAGCTTTTAACTAGCATTTTTGCTTCCTTTAGCTTTAGCTTAACTTTTATATTTAAGCTAGAGTTCTGATTCTTTGAGCTTTAACAACTCAGTTTTATATTTTCAGCTAATTTCAGCCAACTCATTCAGCTCTGTGCATCACTCTGTCATATTACAGAAAAATATATTTTTGTGTTGCTTAAAACTTTTACACAAAAACAAACTTAAAAGAGCTGAACTCTCACTTTAAACAAAGAGTCAATAAATTGACAAAAACCAGTCGGCACAGTTCTGTCAATCAGCTAATAGCGGAACTAGCTTCTCATTTAGCACATTAGCTTTTTTTCCAACTTCAGAAAGTGTTAATGGACCTATTAGCTTCCACTAAATTAGGTTCTGTTAATTTTAGGTCCATTAAAAAATCTCAARTGTTAAAACGTTTATTTTTATGCTGTTTATCCTGAACTTTAAAATCCAACCCCATTACAAGCAGTGCTAGACGTGTCAGGTAGCGTGTGTTAGCATGTAGCATCTTTAGCAGCTAAACTTCAAACTAAAGGCATCAAAAAGAAATTAAATAAATTAACATACAGAAATTTACCACCCATAACTATGGCAGTGAACATATTTGCTATTTGTTGTTTAACTAACTTCAAACAGTATTTATAAAAATACAAACTCAATCAATTAATGCTTTTATTCTGAAAGGGTTAAACTGAAAGTATCAAGTTAGAGCTATAACTCTAGTTTGGATTGGCCAATTTGACACAGATGATCCCGCCCACCTTCAAATTAAACCAATAAAAAACAAACATCATGTTTGTGTCAGTCCCACCAGGCATCTTAGAGGTTAGCTTCTGCTAATTCTTTATCCATTTAGCACTAGCGGAGCTAAGATTCTTGGTGGTTAGCTTCTGCTAATTTTATTTTATTTTTTACCTATTTCGCATTAGCGGAGCTAAGATTCTTGGTGATTAGCGAACCAAACATTTTGGTTAGCTGTGCCCACCAATGCAGAGAATAAATTTTTTCTTGTTGTTTAAAACCTTTACATAAAAACAAACCTTTAAAATGGCTGAACTGTCACTTTCAACATTCATAAAAATAAATTCACCAAAACGTTCCAGGACTCACCGAGGGCTCCGTGAAGGTTCTGGAACAACCTGCATTTACTGTCCAAGGTGATGTTTATGGATTTCTGAAAGTGAATTTAAAACAAATCTGAGCGGAACAAACACAACGCAAAGTCCAAAATTTACAAAAGTTTCTTTTACCCTTTCATATCTTGACGTGTTTCAAATTAAAAGCCTTACAGAAACAGGTAACGCTCGCTGAGTTGCTGGAAGTTTTTTAAAATAAAACACGTGTTCAGGAAGTGCTGACAGCAGCTGTTTATGGCTTTAAAGGAGCTAATTATGTTTCCATAACAAGCACTGGAACACCTTCATGACTGTTCTGTGGCTTTATTGTCCTTTAAAAATGCTCCTCCCACATATTAAACATCAAAACGTGTGGCTCCATTAGGAAAACTGGGCTCTGGATTTAAATCCAGCAGATTAAATTTCTCCAGACATCAGTGGGTGTTAGTGGAAGTGAGTGGGAAACGTTGGTTCTGTTTGGATCTACAGATCTTCACAGCAGAACCATCATTTAAAGTTTAAGTTGAACTTTATACGACTGAACTGCTGTTTTCATGTCTTTAATGGTTTTTAAACGATAAGCTTAAGTTTAATGAATTTTGGAATTGATGTCACTTGAAATTCTTCACATTGTTTGCAAGCTCCTTACTTCCACAGCTATTTTAGAACAAATTATACATCCTAATGTCTGTATTTTTGTCGTTTTTGCCCCACTGTGTCTCACTGCTGTGGGATTTGTGGTTTCCTCACAAATCCCCCTCGAGTGCAGCGTGCACACACCCAGTCCCAAACTGACTATTAGGTTTCAGCTGACGTTTCTCTTCTGAACAGGGAGCGACAGTCTGTTTTCGACCTCTCGTGTCTCGTTACTGAGCTGACCCTTTGAGCCGGATCGATGTAGATTTTGGTGAAGAAGAGCTGGTCGCTGTCGCCGTCTCCTCCGGTCCAGTTAGAGACCATCTGTTTGACGTTGGGAAGGAAGCCCATGAAGCCTGATGATGGAGGAGAAACAGGAATCAAACTCATTTCAGGAAAACGTTTAATTATTTCAGGTCGCTGTAGCTGATGAGGACTGATGGGTCCAGGTTTTGTGAAGGACCGCTTTAGACCACATCAGCAGCATCATGACTCAACCACCCCTTACAGAGGAAACCAGTCCAGGGTCTTATTCTTTTAGTTAAATTAAAAAAAAAAAAACCAAACCTCATGACCACAGTGAGGGGTGAAAGAGTAAGAAGTAAAAAGAAGTTTAAAAAAATGCTAAAATGTAATTACTCATGTAAAGTACAGATAGCCAAAATTTCTGCTTACATGTCTGCATCTGGGTCCAAACGGTCCCAAACTAACCCTAACCACGGCCATGATGAACAAAGAAATAAAGGACGGATGAAGACTTTTGCACAGTTGCAGTAACTCTGGAGCAAAGCCAACAGGTTTAACTGACAGCAGTAAAACAGGTTTAAAAAGCTCGGTGCGGCCCACCTCCTGAGCCCAGGAAGCGGTTCCCCTCCCTGACGTGGGGGTATTTGTCCTCCAGGTGTCTGTCGGGCCAGATCAGGCTCTCGGAGGAGAACACCACCCGGTGCTGGGCCTGCTGGAACTTCCTCAGCAGCTCTTTGGGACCCGAGGCGAAAACCACGTCGTAGCTGCAGATAAAAAGGGAAACGTTTACGACGTGGTGCTGCGCGGCCCGAGGACAAACAAATGAGCAGCTTCCATCTGCTTCAAGCTCTTAATTTGAAGAGCTAAGCTGCCTGTGGTTCTGTTTATTTGAGTGGAAGTAAAGTTTTCTTTTTGGTTTGTGAGCAGATTTCACTTAAAACAACCACATCTGTGGGTTTCATGTTAGCAGTGACCTCACTGCTGTAACGAGTTAAAAATATACACAAACCCCTCAAGACGCACAGAGGTGGAAATGAACAAAAACTTGAATAAGACTTATGTTTTTATTTGCTTTAAAGGTTAAAAATTAAAACAGCTTTCTGAAAACTGTAGTTAGTTTTACTCTAGTTTGGATTGGCCAGTTTCACACAGATGATCCCGCCCACCTTCAAATTAAAGCTTTATGTCAGTCCCACCAGGATTAGCAGTTAGCATTAGCATCTGCTAATATTTTATCTGTTTAGCATTAGCGGAGCTAAGAATCTTGGTGGCTAGCTTCTGCTAATATTTTATCTGTTTAGCATTAGCGGAGCTAAGACTCTTGGTGGTTAGCTTCTGCTAATTTATCTGTTTAGCATTAGCGGAGCTAAGAATCTTGGTGGTTAGCTTCAGTTAATCTGTTTAGCATTAGCGGATCTACGAATCTTGGTGGTTAGCTTCTGCTAATATTTTATCTGTTTAGCATTAGCGGAGGTAAGAATCTTGGTGGTTAGCTTCTGCTAATATTTTATCTGTTTAGCATTAGCAGAGGTAAGAATCTTGGTGGTTATCTTCTGCTACTTTATCTGTTTAGCATTAGCAGAGCTAAGAATCTTGGTGGTTAGCTTCTGCTAAT